GTGGGCACGGCGTCGAACGGAAGGTCTTCCGACCCCGTGAAACCGCAAGGAGCTTTCGTACTGACTCACTGGTCGGCTTCTCCCCCTACCGTCGGCCAGATCGGTCTCATCTGCCGAAAGAGTATTCCGTCTTTGGCGCTGTCTGGCTATCTCTGCTAATGCCATCTCAGCACCTCACACCAATGGCGCAGTACCTTGGCATACTCCGCCAACGTCCCCGCACAATGCTCTCACGTAAAGAGAGTCAAATTGGGCGTCATACGCCCAATGAGCATTGATCTCATGCCCGAAGCCGCGATTGTTTTCCTATCTCAGTGTGGATGTGAATGTGGATTGGAGCTCCAATTGCGGGGTACGTTGTTGCCCACCGGAGTTGCTCGGTGATCGGGATCTGAGTGTGCGGACGGTTTTCCTACTGTTTCTACGTACATAAACAGTTTCCCCTTGAAGATTCATCTACCCCTCAAACTGTTTGTCTGTCTGTCATACACTTCTCTCTTTCTCCATCGACAGTCAATTTTATCTCATAATACAAAAACATGTCTACCGTGGGCAAGGTATGTGACTTTCATGAGCTTTAACTACCCCTCATCATACGCAACGCCCCGCCTTGAACGAGAAGCATCATGAAGACGAGTTGCTGATGCTATAACTAGACCATCACCTGTAAGGCCGCCGTCGCCTGGGAGGCCGGCAAGCCTCTCTCCATTGAGGACATTGAGGTTGCTCCTCCCAAGGCCAACGAGGTCCGTATCCAGGTCTACTACACTGGTGTTTGCCACACAGGTATGCTCTACCCACGACATCGAGCTATCGTAGCTCTTCAGTTGTGCGAATCAGCTCAAGAATAGTGTGTTAACGTGTTTTTAGATGCCTACACTCTCTCCGGTAAGGACCCTGAGGGTGCCTTCCCCATTGTCCTCGGACACGAGGGTGCTGGTATCGTTGAGTCCGTTGGTGAGGGCGTCACCAACGTCAAGCCTGGTGACCATGTCGTTGCTCTTTAGTATGCTTTCCCAACTTTCATCAACATCGCAAAAGCTAATTTATTCTTGAACAGCACCCCCGAATGCAAGGAGTGCAAGTTCTGCAAGTCCGGAAAGACCAACCTCTGCGGCAAGATCCGAGCCACCCAGGGTAAGGGTCTGATGCCCGACGGTACCTCTCGATTCAAGTGCAAGGGCAAGGATCTGCTTCACTTCATGGGCACCTCCACATTTTCTCAGTACACCGTCGTCGCCGACATCTCCGTTGTCGCCATTGAGCACGATGCTCCTATGGACCGAACCTGCCTGCTTGGCTGCGGTATCACCACCGGGTATGGTGCTGCCACCATCACAGCCAACGTTCAGGAGGGTGACAACGTGGCCGTCTTCGGTGCCGGATGTGTCGGCCTTTCGGTCGTCCAGGGTGCCGCCGCCCGCAAGGCTGGCAAGATCATTGTTGTTGATGTCAACCCCTCCAAGAAGGCCTGGGGTGAGAAGTTCGGTGCTACTCATTTCGTGAACCCCACCGAGCTCGGTGACCAGTCCATCCAAGACAAGCTCATTGAGATGACTGATGGTGGTTGTGACTACACCTTCGACTGCACTGGCAACGTTGGTGTCATGCGTGCTGCCCTCGAGGCTTGTCACAAGGGTTGGGGTGAGAGCATTGTCATCGGTGTTGCTGCCGCTGGCCAGGAGATTTCCACTCGACGTAAGTTCACTCTTAACTATATTGGGATTCGAAGATACTAACTTTCTATAGCATTCCAACTTGTTACTGGCCGGGTGTGGCGAGGATGTGCTTTCGGTGGTGTCAAGGGCCGCTCTCAGCTGAACGACCTTGTCGCCGACTACAAGAAGGGTGATCTCAAGGTCGACGAGTTCATCACCCACCGCAAGACTCTCGGCGAGATCAACAACGCCTTCGAGACGATGAAGCAGGGTGACTGCATCCGTGCTGTCGTCGATATGCAAAAGCTTGAGCCTAAGATTTAATGACCCAAAATGTAGTATAGATGAATGATATCAAAATTTTATGTTGAATGACAAACCATTTCTCTCTGCACCGGGAGCTGCTCTTATTATGTGACAAACTTGAGGACCTTGATAGACAAATAATGCCCTGTGCGATTGATACAGTGTTATAAATGATGCGTACATGTCACTCCACTGATATTCGGTAGCAAGTGTATGAGGAACAATTGTTTTGGCATTGTGTGGTGTCGGAAGCTTTGAAACCCTGCATCATGGCGAGAAACAGCTAGCCAAAGAGCCTGCTAAGTTTATTCTAAGTTGGACTAAAGTGCCCTAAATTACCCTAAACTGATCATCATACTAAAAGTTAGGATAAAGGTTCTGCAGAGGTTTTCTGGGACCTTGTAGTTGTGAGGTTATTTGGATAGGTAAATTGTCAATCATTCTTGGTAACCTATATCAACAGGGACCAAGGCTATGCAATCGGAAAACAGTCAAGAACAAGAATGAATTTGCTAGATATGCCTATTAAATTGTTATATAGAGTAAAGTTATTAATATTGGAGGACAAGAAACTAATCTGGGTATCCATCCGTACCTCACTTATGAAAATGGCACCTTGATGGTCATAACGATTGGCATGCTAGGCATCTCATGAAGCTACAAGTGCGGCTCCTACAAATCCTCTGGAAAATGCCTTTTTGAGACCCCGAGCCTCGAGTGCTATATGGGACTCCTGAAAAATGCAAGCAGAGAAATTTCTTCCTTCAATTAGGTATTATTTGTTTAATAGCGTTCCAGGCCTGCTTTTAGAAACCATCGTTCTGGACCGAAATTCGGGGTATCTCCACTAACGCTGGAGGTGGGGACAATTTTGCAATCCGTTGAATTTCATTTGTCTAAAGGGGTCCTTGAGGACGCGACGGAGATCATTCTACAATTACCAAACGAAACAGACGAAAGAGACACAATGCGCTCATCACGGATATCAAGAGACGCTTCGAAACTATTCGATCGTACAGCTGAACCTATTTCACCACCAAGACGATTGACAAGGTCTGGGCTGGCCAAGTTCGCCTTTACGTCAACGGAAGAGTCCAAACATACGCTCGCCGATATTGAAGATAGTGGAGGTCCTGCTCGTAAACGAAGGCGCGTTGTAGCGACTAAGACCGAAATTTCGACATCCGCTCAAGCCGTGAAATCCGAAGTGGTCGACGAAGCCCTCGATGATATTCCATCACCCCCAGCAAAAGCGCGACGGGTTCGTAAGCCCGCTCGCAAAGCTGTCGATGCAACGACTGGCGAAACAAAGATGGAACCTCCATCGGATTGGGAAGCTGTATATGATACAGTGAGGAAGATGCGGGCACCAGGTGGGCGAGCTTACGGCGCAGCTGTTGACACCATGGGATGCGAACGCCTGGCGGATCGAAACGCATCACCAAAAGACCAAAGATTTCACACCTTGGTGGCGCTCATGCTATCGAGTCAGACAAAGGATACGGTGAACGCCGTGGTTATGAAGAAGATGCAAACTGAGCTGCCACCGTTTGAACCCGGGGCGCCCCCAGGACTAAACCTAAATAACATACTGGCAATCGACCCTAAACTTCTGAACGAGTTCATCTGGGCGGTTGGCTTTCACAACAATAAGACAAAGTTTGTGTCACCCGATCGGTATGGATTGATCGAGATTGGACTGACTGGTGTTCAGGTATATCAAGCAAGCGGCTGAGATTCTCCGCGATAAATGGGATGGCGATATCCCCAACACGATCGAGGGCCTCGTATCGCTACCAGGCGTCGGACCCAAGATGGCCTATCTCTGCATGTCCGTAGCATGGGGTAAACATCTGGGGATTGGTGTTGATGTGCACGTACATCGTATCACAAACCTTTGGGGTTGGCACAAAACCAAGAATCCAGAAGAGACACGAACAACACTTCAGTCATGGCTCCCACACGATCGATGGCATGAGATCAACCATCTTCTCGTGGGGCTGGGACAGTCGGTATGTCTTCCTGTCGGTCGCAAGTGCGGCGAATGTGATCTTGGCCTTGAAGGACTATGCAAAGCTGCCGATCGAGCAAAGGTGTCTGCAGGACGTAAGCTCAAGGCCGAAAAAATAGAATCGGAGGCTCAAAACGATACATTGGTCAAACCGGAGGTTTCACAAGACATTGTAATCAAAGAAGAGGGTGTTGTATGATGGGTTCTCAGGTTCTCATGACAGATAATTAATCCCCATCCGCGGCCCCGCCCCCGGAACCAACCACCCCATAATAATCCCCAGGATCGAATTGCCTGGAGTTGCTGGCAGAAGTCGATTTGACCACGTGTATGAGCCCTTGTGAAGGTTAGCGTTGAGAACTGACAGAAAAGACTGCCCTCAGACGCATTAATACCCATTGATACCCTATTCTACAGAAACGAAGTTATTAGTCTGTTAACAGCGCACTCCTGTGGTCTAGCCCAGATGGCGCTATCGAATGCGCGGTCTAGCCAGACGCTCACGAGATCAATGATGGGCCCGATACGATATCGGAGATAAGCCGGTAAAACAAGACAGGGTCCTGGTGGTTCCCTAATTGCATTAGAGGCCAGGCTCGAGCAACACGTAATCAAGCCAAGACGACGGATCTTCACTCCATTCTGAGTCAAGTAGTCAAGCAATGTCACCGCCTCTACAACAGTCGGCTGAAATCGTCCGTTGATCGACATATTCCAAGGATTACCAAATCTCAATGGACACATTTCGTTTTGTGATTGTGATGGAAGAGATGAATCAATTCAGAACCCGCTAAAGGAGGGAACATTGTTCCCATATCATATCCTGTACGCCAACGCACCCTCAACTATCCGAATAGAAATATACACCGGCGAATAACGCCATGCATCTAATGCAGATGCTGTCTCGGAATCCAATCTCATTACGTCGTGGCCGTCAGAATGCGCATTGTGGACTTTAGGAGTGACGCCAGTCTCCCGTCCGAACCATAGATAGGCAGGTAAGGTGATAACTCTCGTTGGTCGATTTACACGCCCCGGATAACCTGGGTTCGTTCCGACTCGAGTTGTGCAGCGTTACGCTCGTGAGACTGCTTCTTGCACTGCATGTGGGTTAGCGGGTCTGCAACCATGGGTTTGTAAGAGATGCTGAACTTACGTCCTCGAGACCGGTACACTTGTGGTCTTCTAGTAGGCGGTGCTTGCCGCAGAAATGACCTTGGCAAAAGGTGCAGTCGCCGACGATGCGCTGAGCTGGTTCGCGGCACGAAGCAGCGGTGCAACGAATTCGCTTAGGAGGCATGATGTTGTTTGATTTGTTGGATTTGTGGAAAAAGTAGGTTTCTGAGGGATCAACTGAACACGTCCTTAAGTCGGTGAGAGTGTAGGATAATAAGAATGTTGGAAGCGGTAAGAAGTTGAACCAAGCAATGTGGTCTTTATAGAAAATCGGATGCAGTGACGGCGTTTCGAGAAATCCGTGGAAAGCAAGAACCGAATCAAAGATTCATTCACACAACGACAGTGACAGAAGTTAAACCGATCAAAACAAAACAGAAGCTGGCAATGGAAGACGGACCTGGTCGGGACTTTATAAGGAGCGGCGAGGCGAGGCGAGGCAAGGCGGCTGATGAATGAATCATGCCTTGGTGGAGCCAGCGGCTGGTCAGTTCGCCTCCAGCTCATCGCTCTCACCACATTCAGGCCGCGGCCATAGGCAGGGGGGAGGTGTGTAAGTTTGGTTGTTTACCTTGTTGAGTCCCATCGTTAAAGAAGCTGTTGTCACACAGTATGAAATGCATGGTCTAGTTTGTCCATCCCATGCTCAGATACAGGGACCAAAGCTTGCTTATTACAGTAGCAATGAACAACGTTGACCAGCCGGCCGTTTGTTTACACATGCACTGCATATGCACAAGTACGATCCCTCACTTACTTAGGTGACATATACATAGGCACCGCCAAAGTTTGCCCTGTGATTTCCAATTTGATAGGCAATTGAACATAATGACAAAGACAACAACTGCGGAAGCTCGTGGAAACACACCCCCCTCCATGTCTCTCCCGTCTTTGGCTGACTGATTATGGGACCCCATTGAATTCGATGGGCCACTTTTACCCGCAGAGGCGCTGGGTTTTGGGGGGAACAGGAATGACCAAGCCGGACCCGTCTCTCTAAATCAATAGCGAGAAAATGGGTTCTTGTTCGTTCACCGCGAGGCTCCGAAAGCGGGCGGTGGAGGCAATAGAATTGGGCGGGGCTGGCCGTGACTGTACTGTACTGTACAGTACTGAACTGAGACTTGGAAGAAGGGCCCAGAGAGCGAGAGATGTGACGTCGATCAGGTGGGCTAATAAACTTGGCCTGTCTCGTCGTTTCAACCCAAGGCACATGGAAACACAATTGAGGCCGGCGATGACGGCAGACGGGGTAGTGAGTAACTCTCATAACTCTCATCTCAGGCTCTTTCAGTCTTATTGCAGCCGTGTTGTTGCGTTGCTGTGACTGTTACACTGATGAGACATTCTTAGCAAAGTGCTAATGGCTTCATCTGATGCATTGCTGCTGCATCTGCATTGCTACAGTGTCCATCCTCGTTCCTAAACAACTCTCGTCCAAACGCTTATCGCCGCGCCTGGCGCTCTAGATGCTCATCGCAGCTACTGGGTGGTCCCCTTGCTTTTTGAGCCTGAGCTTCGTATCCACGAGGTCTAGGCCTCCCACGGCCTACGTAACGTGCTACAGTTCTACCGCCAGTGTGCTTCACTGTTTGTGTCTCCGATAAATTCCTGGGGTTCCATGTCGTGGGACCAAGAGGAACTGGGATAAGGGTTCATACCTTGTCAATGCTCGCTACCCTGCATCTTGAGAATCTCCTCATCTCCAATCGGTTAACAGAAGGGATTTAAAAACATGGCCTTAATGCATGGGGATCGGCCCCCCAACAAGCATGTAGGTTCGCGCTGGCAGTTGGTAACCTAGCCACTGCATCATTGGTACAATTCGGAGCCGGGGTCGGACGAGTCAGGTCTAGCTCGAGTGTGTCTAGGGCCATGAATCGACTGGCTCAGCTGTACTGCAATACCTATCATCAAGTCGATTCAAGCGCTTAGAGGAATAGGCGGTGGGAGTGTGTTGTCAGTGAATCAGTTGATGAGAGACAACAATAAGAACAGCACCTTATCCCAGCAACTCCAATCTCGAGACGTTGGAGATGAGATGAGCGCTTGGAGCAAGCCTCACTAATCCATAAGATTTCACTTCATGCTGATCTCGCTAGTGGGGCACAGACAGTTCCTTCAAGTTTGAAGTTATTAAGGAATGACGCCAGGCGGATGGATGTATACGTCAACACTACAGAGTTCATCAGCGAGCTCAGATTTGAAGCTACAAATGCGCTATCGTACTGAATTTTGAATACGACAATCCCATCGAGTTCTAGTCGTGTCATACATATTGTATGACTCGTGGCCTGTTTCCTGGCAATCACAAATTCTGCACCGAACAGTCGATTAAAATCTTGCATTGACTTAGCCTTCAATATCTATTTCCCGGCAGATAAAAAAAGATTGTTAGCTGCATGTTATTCTTCCTATTCCGTGACACGTTCGAGCCGTCCGGCGTCCTCCGCGTCCCATGTCTCCGGTAACCTGCTCCGTGCATCTCCGGAGACGCCGGACCCGGGACTCCGGCTAGAATAGTTCCCGCATATGCAACGGCAAAGACATTGAATAGACCTCAGCTCGAGTAAAACCTTTTCGCAACACTGCATCAACTCTCTGGAGCTTTCCGGTGTCTTGGAGCTGTTGGTGAGCTCGCCGCTAGATTGAGTCAGGATCCGCCACTCCCGATAAGTTGGGGTTTCTAGTGCTTCTCTTTTCTCTTTAACTAAGCTCCAAGTGTCCGGGTTTGGCATTTCCTATGTTTCTACTCCGTATGTCTTATTCATTTGAGTAAAGGAAGCTGCTCTTATGTTTTGATCAATCGCCGGCAAGAACATGGGTGAAATGCAAAACACCCCAAACGACGCCTAGGCTATAGTCCAATATAAATGACAGGGATTATATCAACTGGAAAACAGCCGTCATCGTATAGGGGTCAGTACATCAGTTTGTGGCTCTTCGAAGCACTGAAAACGCAAGTTCGAGTCTTGCTGACGGCAAACCTTTTGTCATTTTGCTTGATTTTTGCTTCATCTAATGCTTGCCAGGGTATTCATAAACTTCTTTTACGCCTCGTTTCCCAACAAACAACTGAAAGCCGTCATCGTATAGGGGTCAGTACATCAGTTTGTGGCTACTTGAAAGCACTGAAAACGCAAGTTCGAGTCTTGCTGACGGCAAAATCGTGATCAATGATCGTGTATTCATTCAATTATTTTTTGCAAAAGATTGCTCTTCGCCTTATTATGTATATACGCTCCTCTGTGTTTATAGGGACATTGCAGGCTTGGGGCTTGTCTTTCAAAGTAAAATTTCTTGAACAGTTCAATGGAGAAAATCCTACAAGTGTTGCAAGCATATTTGCCCTTGGCTGATGTTAATTACATGGTTGTAAAAACCTTCATTCTCAGCCACTCTTTTAGTGTTTTGTTCTCCTCCTCAGCAAACCTGTGGTTATGGAAACATACCTGTAAAGGAAAACTTTGTCCTTGAAAATACCTGGCATTGATATCAGTGAATAACTGTCCTTAAAATTGCCTATTCGGGTGATTGAAGCTATCAATTACCAATCACGCAACGTGGGGTTTGTGACGACATAATAGCCGCCTGAGAGTCTCATCCAAGTAGTTTCAACTTGCACAAAGGGCGATGCATATTTGTTCCGTAAGACCGCCAAGTGGAAGATAATTGACCCTTCTTCTTCCCACTAACATACATCTCAATCATTTGACGCATACTCACGTTTTGATGCTCTCGAGGCCCACGCTTTAACCCCTCTTCCCCTCATCAGTATCCCGAAAGATATCCGCCATGACAGCAACATCACAGCGCGGTATCAGAATTGCTATCGACAGAGGTGGCACTTTCACCGACTGTGTCGGCGAGAGCAATGGAAAGGAAATTATCATCAAGCTTCTATCCGAGGACCCTGCCAACTACAAAGATGCCCCGCTTGAGGGTATTCGGCGCATCATGAGCCACTTCCTCGGCAGAGATATTCCTCGAGGTGAAGCTTTGGACACTTCTCAGATTGACTCGATTCGGATGGGAACAACTGTCGCCACAAACGCCTTGCTCGAAAGAAAGGGAGAAAAAATCGCTATGGTCGTTACCAAGGGATTCAAGGACTGCCTGACCATCGGAAATCAGTCGAGACCCAAAATTTTTGACCTTGCAATTCGCAAGCCTGACGTGCTATACGAGAAAGTTATTGAGATTGACGAGCGAGTTACACTTGAAGATTACGCTGAGGATCCCGAAAGAACGCAAACTGAAGCAGAGGCTCAAGTTGGTACTAAAGAAGCCGAAGGCAAGACTCTTGTTCGAGGTTTGTCTGGCGAAACAGTCAGAATTCTCAAAAGAGCCGAGCAAGAAGACATTCGATCAAAGCTCAAAGATGTCTACGATCAAGGCATCCGCAGCATCGCTGTTTGTCTGATGCACGGCTACACCTATCCTGACCATGAAGCTCTGATTGGGCGGATAGCTAAGGACATCGGCTTCCAACATATATCACTTAGTCACGAGCTGATGCCCATGATCAAGCTGGTTTCACGAGCTACATCTGTTTGTGCTGATGCCTATCTCACGCCGGCTATTCGCAAATACATTGATGGCTTCCAGGCTGGATTCGAAGGCGGCCTTGGAACCCGTAGTGTTAAGGAGGAGAAGGGTGCCAAGGGAGCAAGATGCGAGTTTATGCAGAGCGATGGTGGCCTCGTAGATGTGGAAAAGTTCACTGGCCTGAAGGCAATTCTATCAGGCCCCGCAGGAGGTGTCGTGGGATACGCTATCACTTCGTACGATGAAGAAACAAAGACACCGGTCATCGGTTTCGATATGGTGAGTTAAGAGATGACTTCAAAACACCATACTAACTTGACTAGGGCGGCACAAGCACTGATGTTTCGAGATATGGCGAAGGTCGTTATGAACATGTGTTCGAGACGACGACTGCTGGTGTTACAATTCAGTCACCACAACTGGACATCAATACGGTCGCTGCTGGTGGCGGTTCTCGCCTCTTTTTCAGGAACGGACTCTTCGTTGTTGGACCCGAGTCCGCAGGCGCTCACCCAGGTCCTGCGTGTTACCGTAAAGGAGGTCCAGCCACAGTCACAGACGCAAATTTGGTACTTG